GAAATTCAACATCCGATGCACAAGTACTAAAGTGCTCTGGCAGAGGCGGAGACAGACAGGCAAACGAACAGACGGAAAGCCCAACTATCACAAAACTAAACTCAACTAACGCAAACTCAACTCAGCTCAGCTCAGCTGAACTGAACTCAACTGAACTGAACTGAACTGCATCTGGGAACAGCAACAGAAACAGGAATGAAAATAAAGTGCATCAAGTCACACACACTCACACATTGTGAGTAAGGTTAGAAAGCACATGGCGGAGCCGGGTTTGGGGGCATTAGCTGATGATTCGCTGACTGCTTGGAGAAGATGTTCTCGTCTTATCCGCCAGCTTGGCCAACGATGCAGACGGCTGAACAAGATGAAGTAGATTGTTGGCAGAGGGGGGTGGTGGGGTCGGATGGAGTTAGGCATGAATGAATGAATGGCGAATGGCGATGGTTTGGCAACGGTGGCAAAACTGGCACCAGTGCGATTACAAGAACAATTAGAAGCTGTGCTTGCCCCAAAAGCGAAGCCAAGCAAGCAAAAAGCAGACGGAGGATAACCAAAATAATGTGACAAGGCTAAATGGCGTAGCTGACATTGCAAGACTACCAAAAATCCCAGTAGCAGCAACGACCAATTACATTTGGCTGCTGCGTGGCAGGAGGCAGGAGGCAGGACGTGCTTTAGTGGGTCACCGCCTTGGCAAAGCATTCACGACCTGCAACTTTCAAAGTAAGCGAAACTTTTGTTAGTTTTAATTACTTTAAAACCTAATTGTGTTGCATTTGTGCAATCTTTAAAAGCAAACTTAGACGAATGCATTGCATACCAAGCAGCCAATTGCGAATGCTGCAAAGCCCCAAGATCTAATTGGGTGTGAAGAATTAATCGAGATACCTTTGGTAATTCAGTGCCAATATGGCTACAGTAAGCAATACAACAATGCACAGCATTCATTATAGTTCTCCTCTAGTCGACTAAATGGAATTCGAGTAACATGCACTCTTCAATCGATTTCGATTATGCCAAGCTATGCAAATTGTCTATAAATATACATGCTGGACCTCCTCATTCTTACGATATCTCACATTATTGAACAGTTGCCTGGTGTAATTTGAAATTCGATGTGTGTAGAAGCTGATAGCCTTAATTGCATACAGAGTTGCGCCTGCTGCTTTCCCTACTTAATCGACTGCCCTTCGGCCTTAGTCCTTAGAAATGCATAAAAAATGCAAATGAACTTTGTTGAAATTGTGCAAATTTATGTAAAATGTCCTGGAACAGACAGGCTCCTGTTCAGACTGTGGGAATCTCTGAAGGTACTGTTCCATTTCCCAAGTTGTTGCGTTCAGTATAACAGTTCTAATTTTTATGCGCAGAGCTGATAGGGAAAACCTTGGCGAGTTCAACTTCAATTTCAGTTGTCGCATAGCAAATGAATGCAGAGGTTGGTTTTGTTTTTTTTTATCATTTATTATTTATTTTATATTCAAAATTCTTGGGAAAGACATAGGCCATATGCCTTTTTATTCAATATTGAATCACCTTAAGATCGAGCTCCAAATTGCTCTTAAATACATTACCATTTATAGTTATATTGCATTTTAATTTTAACAAATTTAATATAAGTGTCTTTTTTGTGTGTTTTCTTATACGCATGAGATACTTAATTATAATTAACTTATTTAATAACTGCTAATGGGAGTTATTCGCACAGAATTGCAAAAGAGCAGGGGATTGCTTATATTTAAATTACTTTTGTTACTTTTGGCATTATTTGGCACCTTTTCGGTACATTCTGCATTCTCATGCAAATACTTCACGCCAACTTATAGCACTTCCAATGGCATCCGCTACATGCCGCTGTTCTCAGGTTTTGGGTGTCTTCCTATCGCTCTTTGCATAATGCGGCCATGTAGTGCAAATGAAGATAAAAAAAAATGGAAAACAAAAAAGACGTCTGGGAACTTTTGTTTAAATCCACAGCAGCGTCTCTCTGCTTGTCAGCTCGCCTGCTGCTCCTTCGGCAAAGGATATCCACTTGTGAGGTGGAAGCACTTCTCGCTCAGCTTCTCCTCCCGTTCCCCCACTCTAGCTCTTGCTAGTCCCCAAACAATTTGTACGCCTCAGTGCGCCCGCATTTCTGGGCACTTAAGTTTCTATATAGTATAGTAGTATGAATGTATGCGCAAATAGTAGCTATATAACGAGTGCGAGCCTGGAGTCAACGCTAATTTTTACCCAGCTCTGGCTCATTTTATTCTTTATGCCATTGAACATTTTGTGAATGGAGAGTGTTTTGCATTTCTCGTTAGAGAAGTACAAGCAAAAAGGAGACAGCGCAACCCGTGATGAGTACAATTAGCAATTTGCATAGTAAAAACTAAAGAAATCTCCTTATTATACTGTACAATTTGGACAACAGGAGATTGCTGAAGAATGCTGCCTGTTGGCGGGGTCAAAACAATTTTCATAACTAACAAGTAGCTCCCTTGGTGGTCAACTACTCTTAACTAGTCCCGTCTATCAGGGTTTGGATTTAATATATTCAGCTTGCTTTCGCCACTTATCTATAATTTTCACTATTAACAGCATACTTTCTTGGGCGCGCTGAAATAGCAAAAATTAAAATAAAAAATAAACCCAAAGAAATGTATAAATGCTAAGTTTTAAAACAAAGTATTAAATAAGTCAAATTATGATGCAATATAAGCTTAAACATTAACAGGAATCCTTTGAAGCATCCGAGCAACCAGAGTTGCTAGCTTCCTTGGGTTTTTCTGACATTTATTAACATCATAATCTGTTTTCACAGGTCAATTTTAAATTAAAGAACTGCACAAAAGCAGCTTAAGGTATACATTATTGATGGGAAAGCTCACACACAGCAGCCCCAGATTAAGGACCATAATACTGTAATTATAGGAACAAAGCTGTGCAGTTATGCTCAGCTCTGCTCCGTTCTGATGCTGAATTCAGATTGCGTTATTTTAATTTGGCCAGCGACACAAGTATCCTCAATTATGTCCATAATTAACCCGTGCGTTCATTTACAAATGTGCACAAAATGCGCAACAGGACAAACAGTAAGAGAGAGAGAGAGATATAGAGAGAGAGAGAGAGAGAGAGATATGCTAGGGCAACATCAGCGGGATGCATCTCAATGATGCAAGAATTCCCTGTATTTTAAATATTTATTCTTATTATTGTAGTTCTTGCTTGTGCTCTATCCAAGAGTCGTGGCATGTGGCACTTTTGGAGAAAACAATCAGACTAGAGAGAGAAAGAGAGAGAGAGAGAGAAAGAGAGAGAGAGTGGCAGACAGAGACGGGCACTATGTGTGGCTTAAATAGCTGCAATTACATCCGCAATAATAGATTTGAATTTACAATAAACCAAACTAATAATTGGCAAAATAAGCACGTATGCTCTAGCAAGGGAGATTGCCTAGGATATACCCAAAACTCTGCTGTTACAAGTATTAAATCGATTGCAACACAGTGGTTATTTTTAAATGGTCTGGAAACTTAAATCTAGTTATGTCAGCTAAAGTACTCTATTTTTTATGTCTGGTTCAGATTCTGAAGTTTCACCAATAAAAGTTAGGGGCGCACATGTTTATTTTACAAGCCCGAAAATGAAATTGCCGGCTTGCGGCAAATGCGTGCCTCAAAGGTTTTTCCACATATGAACGCATTCACTCATAGATCTCGGGGTTCTGTGGAATACAATATTCTTTTCGTAGATAGGCTAGCATAATTGGAAGTATACAGAAAAGGAAGCTTGCTCTTGAGGAAACTTTTACACATGATCTATTACGATGCAAAAGATATAACTTTAAAATTCAGTCTTTTATTTCCATCAGACATTGGAGAAAAATGATATAAAAATAATAGGAATGCTAGCTAGACAAAGTGGGTGTTCCATCCAATGAAATTGTAATTTTCTTAATTGGATTTTGTCAATGATGACTTTTGAATAACTGAAAAGATTGGGAAAACTGACTGAGATCTTGAACAGCAGTTTGGGTTGGTTGTTGTTGCCACACGGCAGACAGTGCAGTCAAGTGGCATTTAATATGCTTCTCGAGCAGCAACTTCTACCTTTACAATTAACAATGATATTAAAATGCCGTCCACGTAGTAAGTAAAGGGCCAAGTAGATGTGATCTAAAAGCTTGGAAGTGAACTCAAGTGTCGCCGAAGTCAATTTACATGAAGTGCACACAACTGACTGGTAATTTGCCCTGTGGCTCCGCATAACTGTCGGAGAGCGGCCAGTTAGACCAAGGGGTGGGCAAAGCTAAAATTTAATTACAACTACATATTAGTTAGACGCATAAGCAAGCCGACTCAAAAAAGAAACAGAAAGGAGATGAAAAGGTTTTTGCAATATTCTGCAGGCAGCCAAATTGGTTTGGCTGGAATGCCAGGGTGCCTGGATGCCCGGCAGCCTCGATGCTCGAATGCTTGAATCCTAGAATCGTTGCCGTCTCGCAGTAGAAGTGGTTTACGTTCACGTTTCCTATCTTGAACTGCTGTCAGCTGTGCTGCTAGCTGAAAAGCTTGGCCAATTTTATGCTGCTGCTGGAAGCTCACAAAAACTGACGTTTATTACTTGCTCGCCTCGATGGGCCATGGCCATAAATTATTAAATTTTAACAAGTTTTTCTACAGCAGCAACTTACTGTCTTGTCGCTTGTCGACTGTCTGGCTTGTTGGCATCTTTGCATCTTGGCTTACATTGTCAGCACTTGGTCAGCACGTGACCGACCCAGGGACGAGACCCTTCCTCTTCGTTGCAGCTGCTTTGATAGCAATAATCATATTATTAATGGCAAATTACAAGCAAAACAACCACAACAAAAGCAACCCTCTTAAAAGCGACTTTTAACTAAAACTTTATAGTTTCCACTCTTCACCCGAGCCAATTATTTATTTATGAATTTAGAATTTTGTCAACACAAATCAACATAAACTTGAAAAAGCATAAAACAATTTTCGCTTATGTTGTTTTCAAAATAAACTCCAAAGCACAACCCCCTTAAAGTTTCGCTTACAAAAAGTCCAATTTTTGACTTTTCTGTTAGCCAACAAACAAAAAACGGACAGAAAAAAGAAAAAATATGAAAACTTTTGGCATTTGTTGGCTCAGCTATCAGCACAAACTACCTGTGGAGTGAATCTAATTTGGGTTATATTTTAGTTTCAACTTGTAGCCAGTTACCGTTATTCCGCACACGTGCTTGTCCAAAACTTTTCATATTGTTGGCCAAAATAGAAAAAACAACAGTTTTTTACTTTTCGTGTAGAACGTGCAGATGTTCGCTGGGTTTTAAACCAATTTATACATAGAATTTCCATGTGGATATACGGATTTTGGGACACACACACCAAGCATAATTTCGCTGCAACTAAAAGTGTTATTCTTCCATGTTTGAAATAATATCACACACTGCTTTTGTTAACTCTGAGCACTTGGCCGTTCCACCGACATCCGGGGTGCGTATATCGGTATCCTGAAAGAGCTGCTCGACAGCACATTGAATGATATCTGCATGCGAGTTGAGTTTCAAGGTTCGCAACATAAGTGCCGCTGACAGGAACATGCCCGTGGGATTGATAATATCCTTGCCAGCGAGATTCATGTTGATCTTATTCAGTGTATCGTAGATCAAACCATGTTTACTAACACCAAAGCCGGGACACAATGACTTGCCACCCATAATGCCGGAGGCCATCATGACAAGGACATCGCCATACATGCTAGAGGCGACAAGTACATCGCTCAGGCCGGGCTGCATGACCAGATTCAAGCAGGCGGTGTCCATGTACCGCTCTTCAAAAGTCACCGAACCAAAATGCTTGGTGGCTTCCTGCCGCATGCTTTCCAGAAAGTTGCCATCGGTCAGTTGCATAATGTTCGCCTTATGCGCCACGGTGATCTTCTTGCGCTGATTCTCCTTGGCATACTTGAACACATAGCGTGCGATGCGGTCGGCATTCAACGACGTGCACACCTTGATGGACTGCAGGATGCCCGGCACAACATTGTGTTCAATGCCCGAATATTCGCCCTCGATCACATCTCGGATGACGACACAGTCGAGTTTGTCATACACCGACTTCTGACCTTTCAGATTGCGGCAGACTGCCACAAAGGCGTACAAATCGAATGCTTTGCGTAGCTGTTTGAGAAAAACGGGATCCATGGGCCCCTTGATGCCCACTTTGTTGCGCTTGAGGGATTCCACCAGCTTTGGGCTAATCTTATTGGTTTCACAATCCTTGTAGTCGACAAACACCTCCCATTTCACTGGCACTTTGGCTGACTCGAAAACCTGCCTCAATGCGGTGGTCAGCTCACAGCCCACACCATCACCCTGGATCAGTGTGACCCTTTTCTGATCCTTGCTTTTTGGCGGCTCCTTCTTTTGTGGCTTCTTCTTATCTGGCTTTGGCACAGCAATTGCCTTAAGGTCGGAGCACTTCTTGGACTCTTTCGATCCTTTTTCGGTACTGTAATACAGCAGCTGGCTTGCATCTATTCTTCTAATTGATCGAATTTTTCGTATTGTGTTCATTTTGAAATTTTGTTTGAGCTCCTAAACAGAAATTAAAGCAAAATAGAGTAGGTAGTAGACTGCTGTTGTTTTTCTTTAAATTTCAAGTATTGATTTTCCAGGCCCAGATTTCCCAACTTCATTTTATCTTTTTTAAACGGGATCAGGCCTTACAAATATTTTCCATATCTGCGCAATATGCAAATTAACACGCAGACCCAGGGAGGCGAGCCAATGTTTTTGTGGTGAGTCGCGTGAATATGACAAATGACATGTCAACAGTTTTATGTCCCCGACTGTACAAGACAAATGGCGTGTGGGCGTGGCTACGTGTGCTTAACAGCCCAGTGATTTTTCATACGGTACGACGTAAAGTGACCAAGTCATTAGCACTGATGACCATTATGAACAGGCCAACACAGCACATAAATATTTATATACCTCACAGTATCATAAACACATTTTTAGTGCTTAGATACGAGCCGGAGTTTAAGGCAGCTGGGCGTGGCAATTGAGGTAAATTTATGTTTATTGGAGGCTCTTAAGTATTATTTGTACACAAGTGTCAGACTTAAGCACAATATGAAATTGATCTCTTTATGAAGCGACAAAATGATTTATTTCCTTGATGACGAATCACTGACGTATGTTGTTAATGTCACACTTATTTGATTTAATTCACTACTTCAAAGAACGAATTTTGTTTTATCAAAATACCAAAAAAATATTCATGTGTTTATTTTTCTTGTGATTTTCATTCATTTTTATAACGGTTTTTTTCGCTTTCTTTCAGTTGGTTTTCCATTTGTAAACATTTTTTATTATGCTTTTAATATTATGAGGCAGCTGAGTTCTTGCTCAAATATTTATTGTCAAACTGCGCACCTATCAATAACTCCATTTAACTGCCCCAAAAGACTTGGATTGACATGCAGCAGCAGCAAACTCCTTAATGTCCTGCTCCCACCTCCTCTCCCTCCACCAATCACAACCCGACCTTCTTGTGCTCCAGTGCCATATTCCAGTTTATGATCTGCCTTTGAACATTTGCTGCTGCTGCACGTACTCGTAAACCCAACAAAGTACAGTTAACTGACAAAGTCCGTGCCGTAAATGTCCCAAAATTTAGAAATACTTTTCAAGCAGAAGCTCATGGACAAATTTCACTAACAATGTTCGAAATGTTTTCATGAGTTAAATTAAATATTATTATTAAAGTCGTCTTAATTAAATTTGAGAAATAGAAAAGTGAATGTTATGTTTATTTTGTTAGAAATAATAGTTGCACAACTTTTTCTCGACATATTTATAAATTGTGTGCTCAAGTGCAAACATACTTTTAAGCTGCCAAGTGTGTGTTGTGTGTGTCATCTTGGCTTAAAACGCAGCGAGCATTGAATAACACTTAAGCATCTCTGAATACTTGTTGAAATCCATTGAGTTTGGAGATGCAATGAAGTGTGATTGATAATATGCATGAGTATTATTCACAACAAGCTTCTATTCAGAGTTGACTTTCCTCTTAGACAAACTGTTAACGTAATCATCATGATGATTAACCCATTTAATCCGCGAACTAAGCATATAATAAAGTAAAAGCGAATTAGATTTGTAGGCCAAGTATGGTGAAAATCTTGGCTTGTTTAGTTGCCTAAGTGAAATTCATGATCAAATGTACTCTTTAAATGGCAACTTGCCTTTGCTGTTATTTTATGAATTTAAAAACACAAAACTTATGTGGCACCGATTTGGGCCAAGGGTTTGGCGATAGTCTTCTTCACAAATACACAAAATGTTGCTCGCATAATAAAATATAAATTTTAGGCAAGTTTATCATTTGTCTCTGACTGTCTCTCAGTCTGCTGATTTCAACTTACAATTGTACAACCCCAAAAAAAAGTTACTTTATCTTGCCGCAGTCTTAATACCCCGTCACATTGTGGCAACCATTTTCTCTAACAAAATATGTAGTGAAAGGAGGCCTTCAATTCTTTTAAGACCCAATTGAGTTATTTATATTTTAAGATATAATAAAAGTCCAATATGCTCACTAAGAAAGGGTATACGGAATTATTTAGTTAAGTTTCTTGCAGCTCCCAGCCGACTTGCTTATGTAGTCCGGGGAGCACATCAACCCTTTGTCTCAATCCCTGGGGCCGTAATACAATGCCAGGGCATATAGCTGCCCGTCAGGGCGTTGATACAAAAAATTACTGTTGCATATTTGATTGTCTCGTTCAATATTTGCATATTTTTCCATTTCTCTTTTTTCTTATACCCTTTTTTTTCTTGATGATTTCTGACCCTTGCTGCGCCACCAATTTTCCACATTTACCCGTCAACGGTTTTTCTTTACCTTTTCCTTGCCAGTTTCCACTTTGTTTGGCAGCTGCTCCCGCTGCAGGTTGAGATCCTGCAATGGGTGCCTGAACCCGAAAAGTTATCGACTCCAATTTGAGGTTGCTGCTGCTCTGTCGTATCCATCAAGAAGATGCGTTTGAGGAGTCTCTGCATTAATTCAAGCAATGCATGCCGTTGAGTTTCCATTTGCATTTCTATGGTCATCTCTGTGGCAAGCTGTTCACATTGTTGTTGCCATTGCAGGCTTGTTTTTGCTTTTCTGTTGTTTCATTCATTTTCATGCCGGAGCGTGTGAACGGCTGCACTTGTTCCTGCCTTGGCAGCCTGACCAAGAATCCTTTCAAAAAAAAAGAAAAGAGAAACTCCGTTTCATATCCAGCTGGCGCACAAAAGGCATTCAGACATAAAAATAACAGCTAAGAATGTCAAATGTCGATTGAGATCAACTCCCAGATACCCTGTAAGCCTGTGTATGCAAGGAAACATTCAAAGTAAATATATATTGACTTTCGTTTCGCACTTTCTTTTCTTTTATTTTTTTCATTTTATCGTAGAATTGGATTACATGCACTTACACAACTTGTACGATAACCTTTTGTTTTGAAACATATCTGTGTAGCGACAGTGCATACAAACAAAAACCCTGTCATCTCCCCGCTTCCCGCACTGCGCTCCCTGTTGCCAAATATTTTGTTATTTATAGCAATTTGTTCAACCCCAAGCCAGGACAAACAAAAAAACATGACCAAAAAGGATGCAAATGGTCGCCCTCAGTACAGATGGTGATATCAGCTTTTATTTTGAAGTTTTTTGTTTTTGTTTTTGTTCTTGTTTTTTTGTTAGGGACCGCATCTGAATGATTAATTACATACGATTTGGACTGAATGGCAAAATGTTTACCGTTATTTGCTCAGTTGTTTGGTTGACGTGGCTTGTTTACCATAGTTCCATTTTTATATGGGCTCAAATTGACAGCACAAATAAAGTATTACCAGCATTTATAAGCGCATTTAATTCACGTACTTATTTGCTTTAATCCAGCTTGAATGTTTATTGCATAAATATGGGGATTAGACGTGCATGTTTATCAAATTATTTTGTTAATAAGACTACATCATAATCACATAATAATCGCTTGCAACAATGCTTGCTAAACAATTAATATTGTGGCTTTTCATTCATCTAAAGCGATTCAGCAAAGCTCAAAGTCTTTAAGCTAATTAATTATTTGTTCTGCTTGTGGTTGCTATATTTGCTTTGGCTTATTTGACCTAATTTTACTTATGCTTTAATGTTTGCTAAGTTTCTGTAGCTCAAGTCAAAGAACATAGTTTTGATTACTTTTCAAAATGAATTTTAAAATGCTGACTTTGCTGGTATTTTGTGCCCATAATTAAGTACATAATAAACTTTACCTCGCACAGTGCATTTTTACTGTGTACGCACTCGCACATTAAATGAAAAAATATTACTCTAAATGGTTAATTTAAATGCTGTCGTAGCTGCCACATGCTACAGCCACACCACTGCTGCCCGTCAAGCCCCTACAACCCCCTACCACCCACAGTGCATTGAGTAAACCGTATTCAACTCACAATATTGAGAGTATTTTGCGAGAGTCGCCGTCGCGCGGGTTTGTTTATGTGTGCGTCGAAGCGTAAAAATGTGCACAATGTGACAGTTAAATATGACCGGATATTTTTTACGACTCTGTCCGTACACAATACGAAGAAAAACAACAACAAAAGTTAATTAAGTTCTTTAAGGACGTGTTGCGGTAGGCTCAACAAAACGACGAGTGTTAAATGTCCTTCTGTTTTTTTTTTTTTGTTTTTTTTTGTTGCCTGCCTGTGGGCATAACGCAGGCATTACAGTAATAAAGGATTGCCACTGTACAGCTGCAGCTGCTCCACAGATAAGAGGCATAACAGCAGGAGTCCAAAGTGCAAGTAACTCACACAAATTGATTTCGTTCGAACTATAATTCATTTTTTGTTTCGCACTCAATTTTAATACTCCACGCATTTGCTTGTGTCCCAAATGACTCCAACTGAACTCCGGAATGTTATATGCAAATAATCTGCAGTCTGCTTCCTTACCCCCTGTGGCCTACTTTCGCATAACTTGATTATGCAGTTTTTTCAAATATCGAAGCACTCAAGTTATCGCAGCAATTATACAAAATTCAAGTTGCTGCTGGCAACACGAATAAATACAATAAATGAAAAGTGGTATTTAGTCAACGGTTATTTATACACATTTAATTAAGTTGAAAAGCCTTAATTAGTTTGTGATTCAAATTTATGCGAAACGCTTAATAATTCATTTAGAAGTGAAGGCATTTAATTGACTTTAAACCGCTTTCGTATTAATAAGCTTGACAGCATTCAAAGCCGAATCAATTGAAATCCTTTTTACAAGCCAAATGAATTATTCATTCACCATTCAGTCTGCCAAACACCAACATCCATACCCATTTCGATTTCTATTCCGATTCATAGGCCAACTCAATTTCACAACACTCCAAATGGGGCAGTGGAGCAACTGTAACTGTAATCGCTCTGGTTTAATGAGTGTAAACTGACCTTCATTAGAAAACTGACTTCATTTAAGGTGAATACACATTTTAAAGAAGCAATACAAGCAATACAATGGCGGCTGATATCATTTCTTGGCTGTAGA